GAAAGAAAGAAAGAAAGAAAGAAAGAAAGAAAGAAAGAAAGAAAGAAAGAAAGATCAGTCTGGCTACAAATTAGAAGGGGACAAAAACAGAGAGAAGGAGATGGGGTAAGAGGCTATTTCACAAATCTGGAAAAAAGGCCAAAGTGCTCTGAACCAATAAGGTTGGAGAAAAGCAGACAGATTTGAGAGGCTGAAGAAGTAAAATGAACAGAATGTGAAGGCTTATAGACATTTGTAAGAGTAATAGCAAAGGAAACACCTATGTAATACTTATAGCCGCTAATACTGCTTACAGTATGTCGGGGGCTGGGCTAGATGCTTCACACGCATTATCTAATTCAGCCACCATCACAACCCTACAAAATCGGTACTGTTAACATCTGCATTTTTAGATGAGAGAACAGAAGCCTGAAAAATTAATATGGTCACAGTGACCTAGGTAGGAAGCAGTAGCATCAGGATTCAACCTGTCTGTCTGCCCCAGAGCCTACATTCGACCCACTTGCTCCTGAATGAGCAGTAAGGTCATTCCCTGAGACGAGAAACACAAGGCAGAAGCAGGTTTGGAAAAGGAAATGAAGAGATCGGCTTTGAACATGCCGAGTGTCTGAAGCCTGTGTTAGAGCCAACTGAGGGGGTTTGGCAGACAAGGCAACACCCGGTAGGAAGTATCAATTTTAGGTCCAGCCCAGGACACCAATATTTAAGGGACATCAGGAAGAGGGGGCACAGCAAAAGGCGGGGAGAAGCAGCAGCTGCTCGTGAGAGTACAAAGGAACACTCCCTTTGAACCCACCTATTGGATTTGTAGGGATTTATCCTACACATGACAGTGATAATAACTAACCCTTGAAGGGATTAATGTGTGTGGGCCAGGCACTGTTCTCTAAGTGCTTTACATCCATTAATTCATTTCATTGTCACTACAACCTTGTAAGATAGGTTCCACTTTACAGATGAGGAAAGAGAGGGACCAAGTGATTAAATAACTTGCCCAACATCACACACCTAAAAAGTGATACAGCCAGGAACTGAATCCAGACAGGGAGATGCACCAAATGAATGACCTAAATAGGAGATTTTTTTTTTTTCTTTTTTTTTTTTTCTTTTTTTTTTCAACGTTTATTTATTTTTGGGACAGAGAGAGACAGAGCATGAACGGGGGAGGGGCAGAGAGAGAGGGAGACACAGAATCGGAAACAGGCTCCAGGCTCTGAGCCATCAGCCCAGAGCCCGACGCGGGGCTCGAACTCACGGACCGCGAGATCGTGACCTGGCTGAAGTCGGACGCTTAACCGACTGCGCCACCCAGGCGCCCCCAATAGG